GGAAGTGGTGCTGGCTCCTACCTTGGTGGTCTTTAAGAGAAGGCTTGATAATCACCTATCTGGGGTTATACGAGCCCAGTATTCTCTCCTACCCAGGGCAGGGGGTTGGACTTGATCTACTTAGGTCCCTTCCAACCCTACATCTGTGAATTTATGAATCTATAGCAAGCAAGACTCTCTCTCTCTCTCTCTCTCTCTATATATATATATACACACATGCACACACACATACACACACATATATATATCCTCTGTGTATGTGTGTGTGTGTGCGTGTGTGTGTGTGTGTATAAATGGCTCATTGCTTGCTATAGACATATAGATATAGATATATCATGGCTTGCTATAGATATCTGTATCTATAGATATAGATATAGATGTATATCTATCTTATAGATTCATAGATTCATAGATTAAGGGTCGGAAGGGACCTAGTAGATCTTCTAGCCCAACCCCCCGCCAGGGCGGGAGAACAACAAAAAACCCCAAAAAGAGAAACGGGACTCAAACGAGTCCAGCCAGGTAGGCATCCAGCCTCTTCTTAAAGACCCCCAGGGTAGGGGCCAGCACCACTTCCCTTGGAAGTTGGTTCCAGCTCCTAGCCGCCCTAACCGTGAAGTAGTTTTTGCGGATGTCCAATCTATACCTCCTCTCCATCAGCTTGTGCCCATTACTCCTTGTTATGCCAGCGGGCGCTAGGGGAAACAGCGTCTCCCCCAAACCCTTCTGGTCCCCCCTAGTGAGTCTATAGACAGTCACCAGGTCCCCCCTTAGCCTTCTCTTGTGGAGGCTGAATAGGTTCAGGTCCCGCAGTCTCTCACTGTAGGGTCTGCCCTGTTGTCCCCGGATCATGCGGGTGGCCCTCCTCTGGACCCTCTCCATATTGTCCACATCCCTCTTGAAATGGGGCGCACAGAACTGGACACAATACTCCAGCTGTGGCCTGACCAGCGTCGCGTAGAGGGGGAGGATCACCTCCTTGGCTCTACTCGAGATGCACCTGTGGATGCACGACAAGGTCCGGTTAGCCCTGCCAACCATGACCTCGCATTGTCGGCCCATGTTCATCTTGGAGTCAATAATGAGTTTATCTATAGATAGATAGATTGATAGATCGATAGATAGATCGATAGATAGATAAACTGCCCAACCAGCACCCAGCCTTATCCTTGCTTGCTAAACCCCTGACCAGATAAAAAGGTCTTGTGTTTCACTCCCCTGTCAACCTGGAACTTCAAGTCCATGTACAAAGGTTCAAAAACCCAGGGCAGAATCGATTCAATCTTTTCAGGCTTTTCTAAACTGTGTGGACTGAATCGATAATGAATTGAACTAATGTTCAGTGTTTGCGTGGCCCAGACAGGCAAAAGCCTACATTGGTCCAGGCCAGGACCCTGGGGATGCTCACATGCAGTCCACCTCATGGCAACACTGGAGGGGACAGCCAGCAGTGCCTTCCCAGCCCCATCCCCTCCCCAGTTCTTGGGGTGGGGGGTGGTAATGAACCCCCCCGGCACTGCCTCCCCCCCCCCCCCCCACAGCCAGTCTGCACTGCTGGGAGGGCCAGTGCTGAGCTGGAGGGTGCATTGCCTTCCCCACCACAACTCTCAGAAGCAGCCAGCTAGACAGGGTACAGGACTGGGGCGATCCCTGCCCATGTGGCTGGGCTGTGGGGGGACAAAACCCCCCACTACAGGAGCTTTCCTTCTCCTCATGCTATGCAGACATAGGGGGGTGGGGGGGCATTCCTCTGCCCCACATCCTGCTGGGCTGACAGGCACAGGCAGGAAGCAGGCTAGGGAGCAGAGGTTTAGTGCTGGGGGTGGAGCAGACAGCACAGCCCAGGGCTGCAAAGCATCCTGGGATGCCGAAGGACTGTGGGCTAGCTTGAATCTGGAGGAGATCTGGGACAGGAGTTGCATAAACCGGTTTAACTTAAATCAGTTCAATCTGATCCTAGATCCATCCAGGTTTATCTTAAGCTGGGTTCATCCATTTTGAAATCGGTTTAGGTACACTAAACTTCTGTTGCATTACAAGTTTAAACCAGTGTCTGATCACTTAAAGCAGTTTATGTGCTACTTCCTCTAGCCTAAAAAAGGGGAGCATGGGCAATCAAGAGTCATTAGTTGAAGTTGGTCCTCTACTCAGGTATGAATCTCCTCTGGGGGGGAGGGGAGCTGCCTGCAGAAGTCTTGTTGAGATAAAGGGAAAAGATGGTGTCCTGAACACAGATTAGATTGCATCAGGCTTTAGCTGGGTGAGCTGAGCTGAGCTCCAGGGCCTTGTGCTACCATTTTCTAATGGTCCGTGGTCTTTTGTATCTCCTGGCAAGCGAAGAGCAGTTGTGTTCATAACCTCTGTGCAAAACGTGTCATGTACTTCTGCAGAGTTAAGCTGCAGAACAGAGTGATCACGCTATCTCAAATCGTGGGCGTGTCTGAAGCCAGCAGACATCCAGGCAACTCGTGTCCAGTTCAGAGCCACCGAGGTCTTGGTTTCTCAGAGATGAATTTACTGGAGGATGAGCTAATTTTCCAGTGTTCTGCTAAAGTCCCTCAAGGATTTGGTGAATTGTCCTGCCTAACTCCTTAAGACCAAAAGTGAGCATCCTTTAAAGACGGCAAACATTACACAACATCTCTGAGAGATTATGGCCTGTCTTTAAGTATTTAAGTCTTCTCTGCAGAGCTGCATGGGGATTGCTTTTTCAAGTGTAGAGACCATGTATTGTCCATCTAAGGGCTTTTCATCCATTTGTGAGCTCAGCTGGCTTTGAACCCACATGATAAGACACCAAGTACTGAAAGTCCTTCTCCCAGGGTGGGAGATACAATGACTGTTCTCAGTCCTCCCATAAGTTGTTTTTCCCTCCATCCGATCTTCTTTGCCTCCTCAAGGGCTCTGTTACATACATTTTCCACACCCACCGAATGTCAAGCACTTGCATTCCCCCATGTTTTGCTACCTGCACACGTGGTGAACATGGCTCTCCCTCTGAGATCATTTTTCATATAGTGGTTATGCCACATGTTGAAGCTGGCCATTGTTTCTAGTGTATTTTTTAATTGTATCCAAGGGGTTTTAAAATATCACTCATGTAAAACCTGCATGAATGGGGTGAAAGCAGATGATTTTGTTCCATCAATCAACATCTAATAAAAATGGACACAAACTCTAATTGCTTTCATAGGGATTTTTTTTCAAAGCTCTAGTGAATAGCATGACAGTAAAGTTGATCCTAAAGTAAACCCAGATTATCACTCATGTTTGGCTGTTATGATAAATGACTCATATGCCATTGGATAATTCCAACAGCTCAGTAAGACTTCTTGTTTTACTGCACATGCAAGGGGAGATGCAATGTTTGTTTGACTAAATGTCCATTTACAGAAAAAAAAAAAACAATTGTTTTTCCTTCCTCATCTGTTTTGGTAAAAAGCAGTTGGAGGAACAACTTCAGAGTGGCTCCTGTTTCTAACACCGTCACAGCCAGTTCAATTAATTTGCTCTCATATGGCTACTAGAGTGGAGATAATTCCAAACAGAAAGCACCTTAAAGGCTTTGGAGTCATTCAGTCTCCTACAACTCTTCTATAAAAATCATGGCAGTTGCCAAGATGCAGCCAACCCATGGTTTTTTAATGAAAGCTTTTCTTTTTTTTTTGCAGGCTTACTTAATTCCATTGTACAGACTAGACATAGCATAGGGTGGTGCCAATAAATAGTTAAAATACAACATTCAGTCAAGGTCACTCTCTGGTTTAAGGCATTACTATAACTAGGCAGAAAAAGTTCTTTGGGTATATGTGATATCTTTTATTAGGCCAACTAAATAGTCGGAAAAAGTGTTTTTTTACATGCTTTCAGGCACAAAAACCCTTCTTCAGGCATAGGGAGAGTCTGCTGGTGTGTGCGTGCTCTCCTGGGTGGAATAGAAGTGTAAGCCAACGTGCAAAATGCAGGTTTGTGAAAATGCAAATGTATAGCAGGGAAGATTAGAGGGGATGGGAGCTTATAGGTGAAAGACAGATAGGTAGAAGGTGGAAAAAGGGGAATATTGACCTATGATACAATGTAGCTGGTAAAATGTACCTGGAGTTATCAGATGGCAGGCAAGTTATAATGTGCCATAAATCCAAAGTCTGTATTTAGTCCATGATTTATTTTGTGGTTGTGTTGATCTATGATTGGATCAAAGCACTGTTCCAATATCTTCTGTGCCTGCCAGTCTTTCCCACATTTGTGGATGGAGTCATTTATTTATGAAGGCCCTGGGACAAACATAACACTGCCCTCCAGTTATTTTGGGGCAGGCCTCATAGAGCAGCTGCTACACAGCAAACCCTGCTTTCTTTTATCCCATGGCAAATTGTATGAAGGCAGAGCTTTCCCCAAAGAGTTTAAAATCAAAGTACAAGACAAGAGACAGCCAATGGGTGCAGCGAGAAAGGGGGTTACAGGGATCCAATGAGACAAACATCAGTCAGCAGAACGAGTAGCTTCAGCACACCTCTGGTTTAATCACTGACAGATTTTTATTGTGAAAAGATGAGGCATAGCCTTCTGTCAAACCCAAACCTCTGGAAAGCAATGATCTTTTATAAATGGAGGCTAAATAAACTCAAGGGCTTATGAAAACCTGTTCCTCCTGCTTGCAAACAGATGGCTGTTCCTATTCGCGAGCACGGTGGCATTTGTCTGACAATAGAGGCTGGCGGCCTCTGATGTGATCACGATACCATTGTGCTAGGCACTGTAGAAACATAATAGTAGGAAACTAGTCAGGCAGAGGAAGACATCATCCTTTTTTTTCTGCAGATGTGAGACCTGTAGATTGAAAGAGCTACCTATGGTTATGGAGGGAGACTCTGGCTGAGCTGAGAATTGAGCTCACATCTGAGTTCCTGTCTAGCATGACGACCACAAGACGTCTCTCCCAACAAACTGACAAAGTGCAGGCTCAGTTCTGCCCATGTTCTTTGTAAGCATTGAGCAAACTCATTCCCCACAAGGATCGTTCATTTGTATAAAAAATAACCATAAGACGGCACTGCAAAGATAGGTCTTCCAGCAAGGAACAAGGATATTCAGAGTTCTGCCTATGCTTGCTCTTAGATTCATAGATATAGGGTCAAAAGGGACCTTCCAGATCTTCTAGTCTCTGCCCTGGGCAAGAGAGAAAGCTGGGCTCCTTAAAGACCCCCAAGGTAGGAGCCAGCACTACTTTCCTTTGCTCTTGCGATGCAAAGCAGTGGAGGTATTACTCTGCTTGCTCCTTGCTGAATTCTGGGCGCCCAGAGAGCCATGGTTGGTGGGGTAGGGAGTTGAGGGGGGAAATCATGTAGGTAAATTTAATTTGGTAGAGTTTGAACATCATTAGATCTTCTCTGAAGCTTTCCCCCATGCCTTCCCCATTGCACATAGAACAGCAGCCTGGTTATTACCACTATAAACTCAAAGTGAGAAAACAGGACTGCTGTGCAACTGTTTGAAGGGAAAAGTAGTTAAGGTAATTATCCTTGTTTTCACAGCAATTCCACAGGTCCACTGTGATCAGGGAAGTTGCTTAACAGTGCACCACTTATGTTGGAGACTTATCACTGGTATCTGACAGCAACGAGAAGTTGTTCCAGCAGCATTCACGGCTGAAAGAAAAATATAAAACATGAAAAACAGCTTGTGTCTGAAGAGCTGCATAGCAGCTTCTGAAACCTGTATGAGCCACTGCATTGCATGGCTGAGCTGAAGGGAGAAGGTTGTGATAGCATTGCTGTCACTGCTTTTCCTCTGCCAGTAGCGACGTATATGGTGGGGCAGACTCTTCTCAGCATATTCCCTAAGAGGCCTGGGCAGCTTCTCCGAGTCTATATGGAGTGCACATATGGCATGCAGACCTTCTCAAGTGGAAACTATTGGAACCTACTCATGGGCAACTGGTGCCTCCTAAAACTGGGGTGGCACCAGTGGTCGATCGTCGACCTGGGGGGGTGGTCCCCCAGTGGCTGATTGCTGCCGCCGGTGCTTCTCTTGGCCGGTTGGAGGTACAGCCAATCTCAGGGGTGCACCCGCATGCACCCCCTATGCACTGCCAATGAACCTACTGTAGAATTACCCTGGGGAAAAAAATCAGAGAGAACTGCCCTGGTGCAAGGGCGAAACAGGGGAAGGCATTGCTCATCGGAGTAGTAGTAGGGCTCTATAACAGTGCCTACTTTGCAAAGCCACCCAAGAATGACTGGGCACCGGTCTGCTCATGGCTCTGGGGTAATTTGCATGAGTTTGCATGTTTGGTTGGGATGGTTTAGTGAGGGATGAACCTGCCTTGAGCAGGTAGCTGGACTATGTGTAATCTCATGAGGTCCCTTCCAGTCCTGCTTTATGATCAGGGCACCAGACTCATGTAATGACACCCATGTAACAGAGTCGTGTGTCCATGACCAAATAATGCTGGAGCAAGGATTGATCCAGCATGAGAAGAGAGCAGTCAGGGCTCCACGCAGTATTACTGCAACAAGCTTTATGTTCCTGAGGGTGGGGAAAGAGGGAAAGAGGTGCTTTTCCCACCACACATGGTGATAGGGGCATCTCAAGAACAGGGTATGCTCACAGTGTATGTTGCCCTTTTCAGGGATCCCAGCCTTGGTTTTAGTCCATCTGACAGCAAAATAGCTCACTTCTAGATGCTCATATGGATGGAGTGAATTGTAGGCCTGACCGCAAAGCAGGCTGCAGAGGAGGCACCTTGGAAGAAGCCTGCGCTATGGCTGGGAAGGAAGCCCCTAGGGCAGGCAAAAAATGGGGAGATACCTCCTTGGAGAGAGAGAGTCATATAATCCTAGAAAACGAGGGGTATAAGGGAGCTCAGGAGGTCACATCTAGTTCAACCCCCTGCTCCAGCCAGGTCCTAAAGTCCTCCAGGGATGGAAACGCCACCACCTTGCTGGGTAACCTGTTCCAGTGCTTTTCTGGATAGATAAAGCATTAATGGCCTGCTAGTAAGCTTCTAGGTCAATTACTTTACACCAAGCCACAGACCTTCCAGTTTAGGTGAAGACCTGGACCACCCACTCAGCACCAGGAAACCGAGGAAGCAGGTAGACACAATGATGGAAAGGCTGCAGCCAGACACTCACCGGTTTGGGCTCCTGACTGCTCCACTGCCTTGCTGTCAGGGTCTACAGCAGTGTTTTGCCAAGTGGTTAGAGCCAGGGGTGTTTCCAGTGTCCAGAGTTAGGAGCAAACCAAAGTTAAACCAGGGCTCCAAAGTTTAGGGACTGGCTACATGGATAGGAAGGTAGGAACAGGCCCCACAAATGAGAGCTACACAGACTGAGGCCAGTTTGTTGCAGAGAAGGGGCCAAGAGCTGCACAAGCTCCTTAAGAGCAGCCCTGGAAGCAATTAGCAGGCTGAGGCTTAGTTGGCCCTGCTAAGGGGATGAGTGTTGCTGCCTTAGTTGCCTGGCTGCAGTACAGAGGCCTTACACTCACTGTCAGAAACCAATCCACGCAACAAGACAATCGGCCTTAGGGCGAAGAAAGGCATTGACTGAAGCAAAGGTAATTGTACAGACTTGCTGCAAATTTTTCTTCCATCAAATCCTGCTTCATAATTGAACCAGAGGCCTTGACAGGCCAGCCCTGGTTGAGTTGGCCAAGCTGGATCCTAAGCACACAAGTCTGTTGCCCTTGCTGGCATGTGAGGGGATCTAACGAAGGCAAGGTAGAAAAGATGCACAGTTTCAGTCCTTAAATAAAAATTTGAAATTTTTTATAGACAGGCTGTGGGACTGCAGGCCTGTAAATCAAAGCAGAATTTAACTCAGTATCTGTTGACTTTCTATGAACAATTAACCAGCACAAAGCACCGGAAGTTCTACCTAAATATGGGAATAGAGGTGTTGCTAAAAATCGCTTTAAAAAAAGAACACCTTCTGCATCATTTAAAGGCAAAAAGCCAAGACTATGGTGACTAAACAAGATGCCAAGATACTCATATCCACACCTCTGATGATCTTTTTCTGATGCAAGCAAAGCTAGGATATGAAGGACATGGGTTGGAAAGTCAGTATGCTGTTTTTCAGCAACGTAGATTTGCTGTGAACACATCTAGCAAGTAGGGCTGTCTGAAGCTTCAGTCCCTAATTCAATTTGGCAGAGATTCAGCCCAATTCAGTGGCCAAATTGCCAAATCAAAATTGAATTAGAAGACCTTTTAATCTCTTCAAATCGAATTGGGACCCTCCGAATCAATTTGGAGAGATTTGGAAAGATTCGGAGATTTGGTCATAGACACCACTTCAAATATTTTTTCTACATACCTCTAGGTAGCAGGTGGCTCGTGCATGCTGCAATGATGGGGCAGATGGAGAGTCCCACAGGAGCACAGGGAGGCCCCAGTGCACGTGGCAGCAGACCCGGACGTGGACTAGAAGCACTTCCTGTCCACTTCTCGGTCTGCCGAGAAGCACGCAGGGGTGCCCCTCCCCCAGGCTTCCCCAGCTCAGTGGCTGGTGCCTTCTGGGTCTGGGGACAGTCACTCGGGGTCCCCCCATGGCTGATCACCAGGCTGGGGGGGCTGAAGGGGTCCCCAGCATGCTCCCCAGCAGATGAAGTTGTTCTGGTCCACCTCCGGGTCCACCACCGAGCCCGTGGGGAGCCCCACCCCCGCACTCCCGTGGGATGGTCCAAGTGCCCCAGCATTGCAGCAATCACAAGCTGCACTGGTACCTCAAGGTATGTAGAAAAAAACTTTTAAAAGTGTGTGTGTGTTCAAATCACTGATTCTCTGAATCAGCATCGAATCTTCAGATTCGGATACATCCAAATCGAATCAGGAACAGTGAACTGAATCAATGCATTGAATCACTGTTCCTGATTCAGGCCGAATCCTAATCCAAATCAAATAGGGCCCACTTTGCATGCCCCTACTAGAAGCACTTGTAGAATGGATCCCACATTTGCACGCCGGCAATGGAAATGGATATCATGCAAATTCAGGATTTGTTTAGTCTTTGTCTTCCACAAACAGGCTCACTGGCCTTGTTGCACAGTAGAGGCCAGGAGCTGCAAAAGCTCCTTAACAGCAGTCCTGGAACCAATTAGCAGGCTGAGACTCAGTTGGCTCTGCTTACAGGGTTGATATCCCCAATGTTTCATATTTATCTTCAGGTGGTACAAACTTGATGAGATTGAAAACGTCACCATTTTTCACACTGCCTTCACTAGAAGGATGAGGTTCAGTGGACTGAATTCTGTTGACCGGCACCTTACTTCATCTGGGGTCCTCTTGAAGTTGTGACAACTGCTTGTCCAGGTGGGAATAAACATTTACTCTTATCCTCCTTCCTTGCGAATTGTTCACTTTCAGGAAAAGATTCAACTTTTACACTTTTTCAAAACTGAACTGAATCTATGAGTTGACGTAGACTAGAGATCGATACATACTTGTACTGAAAACAGTGAGAAATGGCTTGGGAAGGTAATAAGATTAGTTAATAAGCTAAATACCATTACACTTTGAATTGTGGCAAATCATTTGTGCAATGGCATCCTGATTAACCTTATTACTCAAATTACCACAGATCCATATCTGAATGTTCCTGGAGTCATGGATTAACTTTCCCTTCTCCTCTTCTTCTAATTCACTAGGACTGTCCCCTGCACTGGACTGTTAATGGCAAGATCTGCCAGGAAGTTCCACATTAATTTCTATTTGTCGGTAGTGCCATGCTGTGTTAAAAGGTAGAATCCAAAACCTTTTGTTCTGCAGTTTAACGGGGGGCAGTGCCAGCACTTTTTCTGGCTGTCAACAGTTCTTGTGATTCCTATAAGGATCCTGGCAGTACCTTGACTACCTTTGGCTTCAGACTGCATTGGAACTATGCCCTCTCTGTGCAGATGAAGCAACTATTATTAAAAAAAACATTTAGCTTAGAAAGGGGAGAGCAGCAGGCAAACATAGCGCTTATTAAGGTCAGTCGGATGACTCCAACAGATCTCTCTTGGTTCAAGATCAGTCCCTGTTCTTCCATTGTTTCAGCATAACCAGTAATAATTTCAAAAGAACTTAAGTGGTTTAGGTAGCCAGTCCATGCTCAAAGCTGAAAAGCAGCTAGGGCTCGAAAGCCTATTAACCTTCCATGTGCCTTGGGTTCTTCAGTCCCAAAGCCATTTTGAAAACAGGATTTAGGCACATTCAAAATGTTACTCTCTGGTTATTTGCTGCAGTGAGTAGTACAGAGCATGGACCTGTGAATTGTTTGGCCAAGGATCAAGGTATCACTATGTATCATACATAGGGGACAATCCAACTTGAGGTGGGATCTGGTCAATTTTGTGGGCCTAACACCCACTTCCACAGGTTTATTGTGGTCCCCCCCCCCCTCCATACACACCTCTGATTGGCTGAGGAGCCCCAGCGGTCCCACCCCAGAGCTGACTGGTGGAAAGGGCAGTTCATCATATTGTCCTGACTCTCACCACTGATTGGGAAACAGAGCTGTGCATCATACAGTCCTGCTTCTCACCAATGATTGGCAGAGAGGGCAAGAGCCACATGACAGGCAGCCCTCTCAACCAATCAGAAGCAAGAGGCAGCTATCTCACCTGCTCATTTTCAAGCCAACAGCCCCAGCCACACTAGGCTGCTCAGCTGGGAAGACAGCTGGCTTCCAGTGGGGAGCCAGGATTTTATTATTAGCAATTTTTTCCCCCACAGATTTTGTGGAGATTGCCTGATTTTGCAATTTCTGCAAAATCCACAAAATCATGATTTGAGTAGGAGCTTCCACGAGTCGGTAGCTTCCATGTGTCAGGTACTCCATTATAACTACCTGTCTACATGTTCTTACCCTGCAATATACGGAAGCTAAACTGTGGCAACTTATCCCTCTGAAGGTGAACCTACCTGTGCGCTATGGGAATGTGTTGAATCTGCATATGTGACTCTAAAGTTACTTTCTGTTGAATTTGGAAATGGCAATCCAGGAATAGTTTTACTTTATGTTTCCTGTATCTTCTTTGCCTGCCAGTCTTTACCACATTTCTGGATGGAGTCATTTATTTATGAAGGCTCTGGTGTTACACAAATTGCCAATTGCTCAAATCATGAGTGAGCCGTTATGAGGGAGGATAAGGCCAGATGTCACGTTTATTGATTAAGCTCTTAATACACACACACCACATTTCCTACCACAATTTCTGTTCTGTGCTGGTATACATTACCAGTCTTATCAGTACTCGGATCAACTTAGTAGCCAGCCAAGTTGATCATGAGTAGGAGCTGGGCTTCTGATGGTCCATCTTGTCAGATGAATCAGTGCTCAAGGATGACATGCAGAAAAAGACCCAAAATCGATATGTCTCACCCCATCTTTTATAACCTTGCCAATTCACCCAGTGCTCTGGGCTTTTGCTGTGCTATCACTGTTCTTTCTTGAAGGTCGATTGCCGTTGTTCTCTCACTGTTCTGGAGCAGATTCTTCTTGTTTTGGTCTTTTATCTGTCTGCATTCTTCAGTCAGTCACCAGCTGATGTTTTCCTTTTCCACAAGCACGCTGTCACCCATACAGCATACAAAAGAGTAAAAGGTTAAGCACTTATGTCAAGTTACAGAACAATACAAAATGGATTTTCTTAAGGCAATGCAAAACACAAGAAAATACATTAGATTAAAAACAATAGGCAAAATGCCTATTTATATAACACTAGGACAAACATAATACTACTCTCCAGTTAATTGGGGGCAGTTATCATGGTGCAGCTGCTACCCAACAAACCCTGTTTTCTTTTATGCCATAACAAATTGTTAGTGGTCCATGCCCTCTGAACTCCCTTCACCCTACCTCAGATATAAACTTGGATTACCTTTCTCAGCAGTTTCTCTGCCATTTTCTTCCAGATAGCCAGTCCTCCCCACTTCACTGAATATAACTACATACTGAACACCTTGATTGGTATGACCAGTCCCACTTCAGTTGGGATTGCCCAATCAAATCCAATAGCAATTGGATTCGTATTGCCCAATATTCAATACCCTTTGGATATTGCCCAAATCCACAAGTCAGAAATTGTGGCTCCTGGCTCTTGGTAACAGCTGTCACTAATAGTCTTTATCTATGTGCCAAATGGTACACACCAATGACTCTAATACCTTACTAAGCCATTCAGATGGTGAATGCATTTGAGAAAATAGGAGACGAAACATGATTAATAACTAAGCAGCTAAGCTAGTACGCCATCAGTGATCTCCGATTCCTTTGACCCCGAGCTGACTTCTTCATAAATTCTTCCTAGTGCTTCCCTGTTCCTTAAGCTCACTTTTTGTTAAATTATTCATTTATTCTATTAATCCCCTATCCCATCACCTGAATGCTAGACCTTTGTAAAGCTGTTCAAATTCACCAGATTTTATCCCAAACCCCAAGGAGCAGAGTTTTGAACTGTATTTCCTTATTCTTATAATTAAAGCATCCACACTGTGACTTGTTGGTCAACCTAGCATGATGAAAATTGCTGTCCCAATGGCAATTCTGCCATTCTGTAACTCCCTATTTTCCCCCAAAATAGAAACAAAAATGCCTTTTTTTATACAATGTCAAAACAATTTTTGGAGTACTTTATAATTTTCTGCAACTCAATATAATACAGTCCTGGGCATTTCTTAAGATGGCTGATAAAACCAAACCGTTTTGTTTCAACTTTATAGAAACAGTGTTTTGATTTTCCAGAAAAGTGGAGCATTTTGTTCGCATTGGTATATTTCCATTAAACATTTTGCTTTTGTAAAATTGGCATTTCCTCATGGGGGAGGGAGAGTCCCATCACTATATTTGCCTCCAATTCTGACCACAATTATCTTTCCTAGCTGAACTATTCCATGTCAAGTTGTCTTTGTCAAATAAAGAAGATTGATCCTGTTGTCTATTATAACCATCTTTTTAGAAATGATGAAACTGCATCTTTGGTTTACCTATCCTCAAGATAAGTGTCTGCAAAAAACCTGAAGAAAGCCAATAAATCTTAGATCAAAATCTTGTAACGTGGATACCAAAATTTATTTTTGTAACCCAGTGTTTACAGAAGTATCCTGACTCCTCCAATATATGGACCTGTCACAATGTCCACTGATTTCATTCAGTGGGAGCTACAATTAAAATTAGATTATTTCATTAAATGCCTAAGTACATATTTAGATAGTTAAACATAGGTCTTTGTATTAGGCTTTTTTAAGGAAATGAAGGGAATAAAGTGATGATCTCACAGAGATTTGGTCCCATAGCACCTGAGGTTTGTTCGAAAATCCCAGCACAGGGTGTGAAAATCTCGCACTATCCAATTTGCATCTCTCCAAACCGAACCAAAATCTTATTTCCGGTTTCAAGCAGAGATTCACGAGGTCAGTCACAGCTGCCGACAGCCTTGAAAACAGGCTAGCTTCACATGAGTTCGCATTTTGCAAAGAAAGCTTTGCCTAGATCTAATGAATGCTCTGCTGGGCAGGAAATGTCTGGGGGTTTGTGTGTATGTGTGTGTGTTTTTTTTTCTTTTGAACAAATGCCATTGTTTAAATGAGTGAAGGCATTTTTTCCCTAGAAGATTTGATTTTAGTGCTGCTTAAATAGAGGATCATCCTCACATTTGAACTTGCTTTCCTGCTCACAAAAGACCTTGGATTGAGGGTTAACAGTATTTTTATATCCTTTCCTTTTATACAATGGCTGGATTATCTCTGAAGCTTTGATTCCATTCTTAAAAACGTAGTCCAGTTAAGAACATAAGAGCATCATTTGTACAGCAAGAACACAAGACCTTGGGAACAGAAAAACAGATTCTTTTTGACTAGCTTGACATAATACAGTTACCTTTGATGCTTATTAAAATCTGAGGTCTACCTTTCTGTTCTTTCATTTCCACGAGAAACAGAGAAAACTGGAAGGGGAACAGTGCCCACAGAAAAGAAATAGGTGTGATCGTGTGGGGCAATCATCATCTTGTATAGATTTTACATATTGATACATAGAGAACAAGACCTGACTGTGCAGGACATTATTCCTATGTCTAACCAAAAGAGAAGCCCCTGTGCTGCAGAGCTGGAGGTCTCAGCAGATCAGGCAGGTCTCTGGAGAGGAGACGAAGGCATTCACAGAAGAAGTGACTGGTCAAGGTTACACAGAAAACCAGAAGCAGAAACTAGCAGGTTTTCCTTTGATAGATAGATAGATAGATAGATAGACAGACAGACAGACAGACAGACATAGAGATATAGGGGTAGAGATATAAATATTGATAGATAAATAGAAAGATAGATAGATTGATCTTTATCTATATCTATATCTAGAGAGAGATGTTAATGAGTACTTTTTCTTCTCTTGCCTTGTCTAAAGGTAAATATCAACCTCTGCCCATTAGGGGTATGAACATATGACTGTTGTGCCTGTTGGCATACTGATGCTAGATTAATTTATCTAGCATGGGTAATGCCCAATGAGGATGCTTCAGCTAAGGCTTTCACATGGCTGTCAAAAAGAGCATAAACCCTCCGGGGACTCTTGGTAGCATGTGTCAGGACCCCCCATTGTTAACCAGGCTCAAGAGACTGAGCTATCTGAGGTCTGTTCTCCAATGCATCAGTTTGCTGTGTAGCTGTGTAGCCATATTTTCGGTATAAACAAGTTCACCTACATGTGCATGTTCAAATGGAGAGTTGCATGAATAAAAGGGGATTAGCATGAGCAAGCCCACACTTTCTACATACAAGTAAGCATAGTGTGTGTGTGTGTGTGTGTGTGTGTGTGTGTGTGTGTGTGCAGGCTTGGGGTTTTCCTAGTGGGTAATATTCAACCTTTATTTTGGGAAAACTAGGCCTGCAGTGTACTGTTGACTGAGAGCTTTGTTCTCTCATTTGCACCAGCCAATGTGGAGTATACTGGTCAAGGAAGATATACTGAAATGGAGCAGGAAAAAACAACACCAGAACAAGATATGGACATATTTCAGGAAGCACACTGGTTTCTTTATTTTGATGCACTTCCTTTCCTTACTTTTTGATGAAATATTATGCACCTTTTACAAGTCAAAACTGGTAAGTCTGCTATAGCTTTTTTGGTATTCCAATCTTTATTGAAGAAGTTGATTTTTCCACTGTATTTCTGTTCTGCAGGTGACAGTTTCAGGCTTTTACATTTTTTAAATGTACTGAATAACGTTTTCTGTAAAGTTACCCAGCTGGGATTAGAAAAAGCTATTTCACATGCAGCACCATCTAATGAAGGAACAAGTTGTTCCACAATACTTCTGATGAGCAGTGAACATATTTGTCTACCATGTGAATCCTTTTAGATTCACCACAGTATTTTGGAAAAGAAATAGTCTCATTGGTTTCACTTAGCAAGACCTGAAGTCAAATAAACATATATTGACCTCTGAACAACACTATCAAACCTGCAGTCTGAAGGTAGATATGTTGGCTGCAAATTCTCCGATAAAGATATACACGGTGGAGTGCCTAGGATTTTTTTGTCTGTGGGTATTGTCTGAACACCGTCAATTTCATGTATGATTGATTTTTGGAAATGTGTTGAATAGAAGCCACTTTCAAGGCCCATTTATTCAGGATGAGGTTTGGGTCACAAAATATAAATAATCCATTTTGAACGATAAAGGCTAACTCTGGCAGGATGAAGACACTTGTTATTCTAGGTAGGACAGAATTGAGCAGTAATAATTCATTGTGGGTTTTTTTTCCTCCAAAGCATTGTCTTATTCAAATGAAATCATCACTTATACTCCTGAAATGCTCACTGGATATATTAAAAATATTTTATTGGTAGAGTACCAAAATGTTGGCAGGAAGATCACAATGACTTCCTGGACTGGCCACTTACAGCAAAAAAAAGGTATCTTAAGCAAACTTTCTGGCCATATTTAATTCATCAGAAAGATGTCAGATTTGTTGGCAAATGCCAGTGCTCTGGTGCAACTGCAGTTAAAGTAAGGACAATTAAAGGCAGTTCGCTAGCCACGCCAGACTACATGTGCCTGATCTTGGAAATGAAGGAGTCATTGACACTTGGGTGGGAGAATACTAGACCACAGAAAAAGAATGAATTTGATGCTGATGGATGTTAATAAGAGGAAGAAAGGAAGGGGTTTTAAACAAGGGTACTTCATGCTATCAGCAAAGATTTCTATATTCTCACCCTCTGTATAGGACTCTGCAGTGCAGCATTGCAGATGCAAAAGGCTGGTGACATTGGTTAGTCCTGTCTTCTGATGTTCCTGCTGTTGTGGATCTGCGAGGGACATGTATTACGTCCAAGTGCTGGTGAGCTCTGCAAAGAGACTTTGTAAAAGCATCAAGTCACACGGTTCCACATTCATGGTCTAGCCGTGGTTTCTCAATCAACCCCTAGATCAAGCCTGTTGAGTTTACAGGTAACACCAGTGCTGTAAGTCGGGCTGTGTTCTTTCTGGCTCTTGCACCCCTAATAAACTCTCTGCAATGGATACGCACGCAGTTAACGTTGCGGGGATTGTGCGGGAGTAAGACTGTAGTCCCGTTTACTTCCTCATAGCAATATTGACCCTACAGGATTACCCGAAGCAAAAAACTTATAATGCATGTCTGACCAGATCCCTTTGTGAAACCAGTTTGGAAATCTCTCATCATGATAGGAAACTTCAGGACTGCTTTTATATTTTTTTAAATATTCAACTCAAAGCAAACTCAGTTAATTAGATGTTTAAGTATCCAAAGTAAAGGGGAGGGTGGTGGGGGGAAAGAAAAGAAAAAGAGCTTTAAAGACCAAAAAATACAATTAACCCCCCTCCCAACACAAAGCAGTGTTGAGGATAAAAAATAAATAATAATAATGACACTTTCAGCTAATATATGTAATATTTTATTACCCTTGTAATCATATTTTCAATGAAAAGTGTTGACATGGAAATTCACCATATGCATCATCATAACCTTGATTAGGAGCTACAGCATATAGTCATTAAATCAATCACAATGCATAGCAATTGTATATACATTATGAATTATATTTAGTTTGGAATTTTTATTTTGCACCGATCTTCTCCCAGAAAAAAAAGCAAAGCAAACCAAATACAAGTCTAGTAGAGCAGAGAAAGCCCAGATGTTACAGAAGGCCCTGGATAAATTTGCCAAGACCATGACGATGCTATCTGGACAAGGAAGGAGTTCCTGGGCAAGCAGCAGGCAGAGGAAGACTCTCCGCTCCC